ACCTTAGCTTTCTGTTAGGAACGATGTACCACGGCACGAGGCTGGACGTGTGCGTTAGTACACACCTTCAAGAGGAGATACTGGAGCTGGCCCAGCGTCAGTGAACGTGGGTGTGTCATGTAGGCCTACGATCCGGCAGATCCAGTAGAGATCCAGGAGACTGTGGAAAACTGAGATGTGGACTCTAACCTCTGGTAACCTGCAATGGGAGAACCCGCGTTTTGTACAATAGCATGTCCTCGTCTACAGATGACCAGTCTCCACTGGGAACAGCTGCAGTTCTTTCTCTTGAAAGTGTGCACTGATTCACTTGCCCAATTCAGTGACTTGGTGGACGAGGTAACATGCACTCAATCTAACAGCCTAATGGGTTCCTACGTGAGTCAGGGAAACACATTAAAAAATACTATGTGTTGCCTCCAAAATTTAAAAGTCTCACCCAGCAATAAGCCACTGACATAGTGGACATAATAGATAAAGCCATGTGCCTTTCACTTGAGAATGTTGTCTCTTGGGCACTTCCCCAGCCTACAGAGGACAGAATCCACAGAGCTTTCCAGAGACCACGCTGCTGCCTTCACGGATCCTATTTTTCACTGCAGGACCGAGGATCCTATTTTTCACTGCAGGACCAAAGGCTTGTCATCCAGATTCTATCACGGGATGGGTAAGAAACACGTGACAAACTGAGTCTTAAGCTTTTGGATTTTTTCATTTGTTTTTTATATTCTATCAAAGACTGTAATCAGCTCCATTAAACTGTCCTGGTTTTATGCAACCAAATGAGTAAACTACTAGTGCTGCTCCAAGCCCCTCAAGCAAGCATGTTGAATGCGGAACGTTGAGTGGGTGTACCTGTATTGCTACATTTGCCCAATGGTGTAATCCTCTCTCTCTGGGCCATCACCCTCAGAATATATTCATATGCATATTTCTTGTCCTCTGTCAAGATCCCTCTTTCTGTGTAATCTTTCTTAGCTGTGTGACCCCTCTTGGAATTGGTCACTGGAAAAATACCTTGAAATATAGATAACTCCTCCCAGTATTACTCATAATTTAAGACATACAACTTAATAGGTTAGCTCAACTAATTCACACCTGGCCTAATTTCACACTTGACATTGACATTAAATGTGTTATTTTTAAAAAAGATTTTAAATCACTGGGGCAAGTGCATATGCTAAAATGTTAAATGAAAAAGAAGCTACTATATGTGTGTATAGCATAATGTGATCAAAATTCAAAAAATTTTGAATGACAAAAGATAGCTTTCTAATTTTTGTAGCTTGAATAGAGCCTATTATGCAGCTCTGAGTCTCTATATTTATTTCTAAAATCCATACAAAGAAAAAAGTAAACAAAACAAAGATTCCCACAAGAAAACATCTATTGTGAAACACAGAAAACAAAGAAGCCTATAAACTCCAGCTTACATGTGAGCAAGGTGAAGAGAAGTCAAAGCCAGGAGAATATTTTTGCACCATACATGCTAGAGAAATAAACAATTTAACAACACTAAGTGTTGGTACTTATGAAAAGTGGGACTACTCTTATGAGAGTGAATAATTATGCAACCTTGGAAAAAAATTTGGGGATAAATCATAAAGTTGAAAAAACACACCTGATGATCCAGGAATTTTACTCTTGACTAAACATGTAGAAACATTTTAATAAATGCTTCCAAGAAGGCATATACTAGAACATTCATAACATCAACTTCTATCAACAAAATAGATTAATAATTGCAATGTGTTCAATTATAAAACAATAAAAATGAATAAAATAGAGTTATAGCTGTCAGTGTAGTTGAATTTTATAAAGGTAATATGGGCCCCCCAAAATTTGTATTATGGAAAAATACCATAGAATGGTTTTATTTTTTTTATTGTTGTTCATTTACAGTTGTCCTGCCTTTTTCCCTGTTGTTCTCCCCTGTCCTGTACCCCCCTACTCCCGCAGTCATTCCCCATGTCCATGACCATGAGTCCTCTATTCTAGTTTTTTAAAAAAAGTTTAAAACATGCAAATAATATTGTCTATTTTTTGGAATGTATTAAACCAAAAGTCTATGGTAAATATAAGCATCAGATTATAGAGAGTGGAACGGAGGGAGGGGAAAGTGGTTAGGAATAAGGACAGAAGTGGATTTATTATGTGTAAAATATCTTACCTCTGTGACATCATAGATAGTTGGTCTTTGTCTCCAGTTCCTGACCTGGAGCACCTAAATCCCTAGTAGTTGCCTGAGTGAGACCTGTGAGAGAAATGTCTTGCTTTAATAAGGAGATTCTTGGCATGTTACTCCATAACCTCAGGATGGAGGCTGGTCCTCAGAAAGACCAAACCTTGGTCAGAAGCCTGCAACATTCAGCCCCACGCCCCAAGCTCTGGGAAGGTGAGAGGTGCTGGAGTTTGAATTAATAGTTGATCACATGCATGTGATGAAACCTCCACAAAGCTGCTAGACAGTGGGGTGTAGATAGCTTTTGAGTCGGTGACCATATCCCATGTGGTGGGAGAGTGGCACACCCCAGCTCCATGGGGACAAACTCCTGTTCTCATGACACTTCTGGACCTTGCCCCATGTCCCTCTTCATCTGGCTGTCCATCTCTATTTTTTTAGATATCCTTTTAATAAACTGGTAAATGTTAGGTGTATTCCTGAGGTGTGTGAGCCATTCTAGCAAATTATCAAACCCGAGGAGGGGAATGTCTGATTTACAACTGGTTGGTCACAAGTACAGGTGATATGGGACATGAGATTGGTGTTTCATGTTGGGGCAGTTTTATGGGACTGAGACCTATAACCCGTGGGATCTGATGTTAACTTCTGGTAGACAGTGTCAGAATTGCATTGAATTTGTAGGATACCAGCTGGTATCTGAAAAAGCAGGAGAGCTGTTTGGTATGGAAAACACCCACATATTTGACTTCCAAAGTGTTAGGAGTAAAGACAACCCTGACTCTCAGGCTGGCTAGGAGTGGGAATTTGGCTATTTACCAGTTTATTATTTATACCTTTTGTATATCTGAAATATTTCTTCAAATGTGGCTGGGACATGGCATATGATGTCTGAAAGCGCAGAATGAGATTCAGAGGTGAGCACAGTCCAGCAAGTTCAGAGGCTTGTTGGCAATGGGAAGGATCTGGGATTTTGCGGGAAGCCATTCAGGGTTTTTGAAGAGGTCAGTGATATAAGCAGACTGACAGTTTTGCGAAGAGCATTCTAGCCACCTTGTGACGGGGCATTGGAGGGGGCCACACATGGAAGTTGGGACATCACTTATGTATGGTCTTCCTCAGGGGAGACAATGGGATCGTTATCCAGGTTTCAGCATCCAGTGCAGGGGACAGGACATAAAGGGCAGCCACCAGTATGAATTACAGTATTATAACTGGAATTAACTCAGGGAGAGTCATGAAATCTCCTTTTTTTCTAGTGGCTATAACATTAATTATTCCAAATAAAATTTTCATGTGTTTCCTTACACGAAATCCTGTTGTTTTGTTCCGTCTCAATTCACGTTTTAAAGTTCACATCCTGACATTTACCTTTCCCCTTTGTTTGATCTAGCGTCCTTCCGTTTCCATTATAACTTCACTCTGCATCCAGATCGCTCTTCGTAATTCCCCCCAACGCCTTGCCTGCCTCTGTGTGTGTTTCAGCTGCTGTCTTCTGCGATTTCTCCTTCCTCCTCTCTATGCATCCAGGTGTGTGAGGACCTTTAAAATCGGGATCAGAACTTGCCTCTTGCAAACCTTGACCAGCTTCATCCGTCGAAGATCGCTGCCTTGGCTTTCGTGGTATTTCGAATATTACCCCCGGTGGGTTTATTCTCAGCCACGCCTCAGGACCCTGCCTCGCTGCCCTCTTCCCAGCTACCCCTCAAGCTGACTTTACTGCAGCCTCCCCCAGCCCTGCCCCCGTTGCTGTCATTGTCCCAGATCCACACCCTCCGCACCGGACTCCAGGCAATCCTATGAGCTGCTTCGGCCTCGATAGCTCTCATCTTTCAGCCCCCACCCCCACCCCAAATGAAGTTGTTGAAGTGAGCAAAGCCTTGCCTTTGGAATCCGGGGCTGCTGGGTCCTGCACTGTCCAGTGTACCCCAAGCAGGGCTACAGTGTCTCACCACTGAGCACATGGGTCTTATTCTAATCCCAGGTTTAGGGTTGACCCCAGTTCCCCATGAGACCCCATTTCTGATAACCTACTTACGGTTCTGGACTTCACAAGCCCTGGTTTCTCCTTGCCCCACCTTGCAGATCTGAGGTTTTCTTACGTTTCCATTCTGAGTTCCCATTCTATAACCAGTCTCTTTGCGGCAATTGCTTAAAGAGGCCTGGAGCCTTTATTCTTTTTGTGCCTATTCTTGCGGACTGTGGTCCCTTCAGTGAACCTCAGCTCCCATGTCCGGGGTGTGCTGTCCCCACAGAGCGAGAGACGGTCTGTATGGCTGATTGCTGACCCACGCCGACGCTCTGTGACCCTCCAGATGCTCCTGTTGACCATTCGTCTGATGCATGGACAGAGGTGCAAAGTCAGCATGGATGAAGAGCCCATCTCCACCCCGGGAGCTGCCAGGTCCTTGCTCCTATTTGGAGCCTGATTTCCGGCAGTCTCTCTACCCCTGTGGGCCGATCTAACTGTAGGTGGGAGCACCACCCAGCCTTGCCGAAGGATTAGAAAGGAAAAGTTATGCGAGATTTTCAGAGTTCTTTACCTTTCCGCAGAGTTGATGGTGGTGTCACAGTACCACTCACCGGCAGTATGGGTTTTCTTGTGCCTTTCTGTAGTTAATTTTTCTCATTCTCTAAGGTGGATCCTCTTTTAGTGAGTAATGCTTTATTATTTTGTTTAATCCACACCTGCACTGATGCATCAGAGTTGATTTTTCATCAGTCATTTTAATTATTTTTTAGGGTTGCAGTTACAAAGGGCAATGCAGGTATTGAACACTATTCTTGGAGTTAAGCTTGTAGTATCGCAAGCTCAAGAATGGACAGGAAACATGGAAAATACATAGTGAATATTGAACACGCTGAGAAACAGCCAGTAAGTATTGTTGCTCTATTTAAATATTTTGCTTATATGACAGTCTTGTTTTCAACATTTAAAACCAATCATTTCTTCACTGCTAGGTAGTCAATGTTGTGATTTTGCATTCTTCTCTAAAAGGATGAGTCACCATGTATTATATTTTTGCTTCAATTTTTCATGCTATAGTCTGCTATTTTATACTGTAGAAATTATTTTATATGCTTACTGATATAAAGCATGAGAAACATTTCTATCACCACATGATATATGAATAAATCCAATTAACTTTCTTTATTCACCATCTTCATTCATCAACTTTGGTTTAGCTTTGAACTATATTTTTACAACTTGATTCTTTGATTTATGTATAATTTCTAAACCTGTCAGAACTCAGATTCATAAATGTGCTGGAAATCCTGATATTAATCCTGGATATTGTCTTTAGGTCTAAGAAAAAAAAATCCTCTAAACATTTCTACATTGTATAAAAACATGATCTTTTGTCTGTTTTAAAATGTTTTCTACCAAGGATCCAGCCTGTGCTATGTAGTTATTAAGTGCTTTTCATGTATCTGGTTTATGTCTGAACTAATAATCTTTGATATCAGAACAAAGGATGAAAATGTGCTAAAAGTTAAAATGGTAAGTTAAAATTCACTGCATGAAGAATAAATGAAATATTTTGTCTTTGCCCTTTGGAGCTGTGGCTATCAGCCTGTATTAATCTCCTGCAATACAAGCCAAAGATGAAAGTCCTGTGGCTCAGTGTGAGTTGAAGAAAAGGATTCCATAGACAGTTCCTAGTTCACTAAAAGAGAAGGGGCTTGTCATATGTTTCCTTTTGTCACTTCTGAGTTTGAGACACTAAAATTGGATCTTCAGGATGCTGAAACTTGCAAATGCGAAAAAAAATCCCTTTAGCTAAATATTCATCATTTTTATAGTTTCTCTGGATAGCAACAAACTTGAAGATGTTTACAAATATTTTAAGTTGTTTTTACAGCATGTATCTGGAGAGCTAACTGAAGATTTCACTTTTTTATGGACATATAGGGCATAGTTATGAACATATTTTTCTCGGAAGACCACATTTAATAATGAACTTTAAGAATTATTGGAAGATTACAAACCAGAAGAAAATAAATTTTGGTGTTTTGTTTTTCTGTTGGGATATATGAGATCTTAAGTTAAATCTTACAAAGTTATAGGAAAAACCTACGGAACTTTCTTTGTAACTACAGCTAATGTACTTCAGTTGCCTGTGGCCATTATTAGCTAAGGGTTCATATTGGATTAAATATTATTCACAGTTCTCCAACTCTTCCAATTTTGTATAGAGTCTCTACCTGTGCTAAAAATCAGAGCAACCTAACAGTAAAAAAACCACTACCTGCGCGGCAATATTACTCACAAGCTGAGTCTAGATCATAGGTTAAACACTGCTAATATAGACCCCACTTACCATCTTTCTTATTTGAAAGGGCTGGGATTCCAACAGGGCCAGAAAATTCTGGAAAAATGACCTGGTTAGTATTACTTTGTTTACTAGTAAGTATGTTAAAATATCATCAGCCTCAGGCAAACTGGGTAACAAAATAACAGAATAACTAAAGCAACAGAATCAGCACTTAAGAAAATAAGCAAGGTTGTTATTAAAGGTAAGTCCAACTTTGCTGAATTTACCTAGTTAATAACGTGGACTTGGTTAAATCTTACTCAATAAAACATATAACTTTTTTCTTTATTTCTTTGATATAACATTAGGAAAATCTAGCTTAGCAAACTCTTTACTGCCAAGAGTATTCCATTTTATCTATATTGAATAACAGTCTTTTTTTTTTGTATTGTTAATGTTAGTTCCTAATGGACAAATGACCACATACAACTCTAGTTTGATAATTTTATGAAACTTATTGGCTGATGGACCAACAATTATATAGCTATACAGTAATAGGTTATTAAATCAAAATGATCAAAGACAACTAGTAGCCATAACAGTGGGAATAAAAACATGAATAGCAATACTAACAACAGTGTTAACTACCATTTATTGAGTGCATACTCTATGCCTGACTTTGTTCTAACTCTTCGGCAGTTACTTATTCATAAATCCCCACAGCAAATCTACAAGTGAGTGGGTTTAGTGTCCCCCTTGTGAAGATGAGCAAGGAGTGGCAAAGATGCCCTTAACTCACAGCTAGAAAGTAAGTGTAATTATCCCATGAGCTGAAGAGTGCCAGATAATTCTATGTTATTTTTGAGATGTAACACGCTTTGACTAAGATCCATAAACTCCTGAACCAATCCCTTTCATTTTCACTTTATCTTGCTCTTCTGCCTCTCTTAACATACATCTTCCCCCAAATATTTCCCACTAAACTCACCCATGTTCAATCTGCATCAAGCCACTTTCTCAACATTTTGCAACTGTTGTATTATTTGTTAATTATGCATGGGTTTGTTTTACCTCCCTGTTATATTAGCATATAAACTCTCTGAGTAGAGACCTTTTATTTTATTGCTGAGAACTGGTTCTACCCTGCTGTATGCCCAAGAGGAACCCAGCAAAGACAAATCACAAATGGGACCAATGATTTGTCTTCTGTGTCCCTGTCATGGGCTTGCAAGTTCCATTGCATAGAGTGTGGTATGGATTAACAGAATTATGAGAATTCTTTTTTAGTGTAGTGTAGTAAAGCATACACTATTTGAACATACTACCACAGTTTAGCATACCAATATGCTATGTACAGTGTAGTGGAATGGAAAGTACTCCAGCCTTAACACTGGGAAGCCTGGAGTCCATTGTTTCCAGACTTCCAATGTAGGTAAAAGCGGCTACACCCACTGAGAGCTGTGCTCTATATGGGGATGCATTCGTTCTCTTCTTTCTCAGGAAATGTATTCAATCATTTAATTCACCTGCATTCATTTTAAGCCTTTGCTGTATTATCTGTTAAAATTATAAATCACTGTGAAGCAAGTCATAAGAAGGAGAATATTTTATAGTCTCTGTTTTCAAAGAGCTAATGTTCTAGTTGGCGACTGAGTTATTCACATAAATAGAGAACATATGTGAAATTAAAAGGAATAAATGTAAAGTACAAACACAAGGTTGGGGAGGGCAGGAGAGCACATGTGTTGGCAATGTGAGGTTTAACCCAATAATTAGACTCTGATGGGAGATAGGGTTACATTTAAAGCTTCAGGGGTCCTACTCTATGGATGATCACTTACTTTTCTTACATTGTTTCAGCTTCTGAACAATGTCTGTGGCACTTTCTGTCTCCTGGTTCTGACCTCTTGTATGTATGACCTTGATATAGACCCTGGCTGTGTTCTACAGATTTTCTCCTCTAGCGTTGGAGACTAGATGAGCTCTCCATGGTTCCTGACCTTATCTATTGGCTGAGTTAACCTTACCTCAGTACTACTGTATCTCTACATTTTCAGGGCTGGCTTAGAAACTTTACCTTGACTATAAATTGCTTATTCTGCTTAGAAGTTTGGTTGGGTTCGCCTGACTCTAAAATTCCTCCCTTCTGTTTAATCTTGCTGTAGATGTTCAGATGAAAGAATCTGAGGCTTGCTCTTTGATTCTGGATAAAAAATATAAACTCTTTATATTGTTGCTGGGGCAATGTGAAAGAATGAATGAGCACCACAGGGTTAGAAAATGTGCAGGGATAAAGTAACTTAGAGCATTCATAGAATTGAAAGACATCTTAGATAACGTCTGGGCTGGTAGTTCTTATCCTTTGCTGCATATTAGGATCACCTAGGGATCGCTTATGGAGTATCGATGGCTGAGCTCCTTCCCAGACCAATCAAATCAGAAACTCTGGGGGTGGGGTCCATGCATCAATATTTTTTAAATGCAACCAGTGGTGAGAATAACTGATCTGGTGCCATTCTGTCATTTAAAAAATCAGGGAAAATATGGCCTATGAAATCTAAGAGATTTGCCAGAATTCACATACCATGGGTTTTTTTTTTTTTTCCAGAAGTAACCAAAACAGGAGAACTTAAGTGTTCTCTGGTTATGTACACTTTATTTCATGAAGCTGCTCTCCTATACTTTCTTTTAAAGGCAGGATTATAGACTTCTCTCAGATGTACATAAGCCTTTTTGATGCTTCATTTTCTTGAGACTCCATTATAGTGCCTTCTTTGGTCAAGGTAAAGAAGGTACTTTTTCTACCTTCTTAGAACTTCATGGTCCTCATTGCCCTGGCCTTGGTGACCCATGCCTTCATTCTGCTCCTACTGCTTTGGGGCTACCACCCTGTGCACAAAACCCAACAAATACCATGGCCCATAGTTTGTAATATTTGAGATCTCCTCCAGTCTGTCTATAAGGCATGAGTGTTGCATCCCATTTCTTGAGGGTTTTGATCTCATCCAAATAACGAAATAATTGCTCACATTGGACAATTGAAAGTTTACATATCTGACACTATGCCAGGCACTTTATAAACATTGTCTTATTTTCTCTTGTCTTTCGTATTAAGTAGGTATCATTATCATTATGAGGAAACTGAGGCTTAGAAAGGTAAAGTTGACCAGTGCTATGCAGCTAATAAGTGGTGGAGCTAAAATTCAACTCCCAAATTTTCTGGATTCCAAAGCTCTGGATCTTAATCTCTATGCTATCCTGAGTCGAAAATAATAATACTTTTGAGAACCAGTGAGATAGATATTTTTAACCCTGTGTTTCAAGATAAAAATCCATTCAGTGATGGCATTCATATATTTATACTGATTCTGCTCAGTCCAGGTGCTTGACTTACCTGAACGTGTGGCCACTCAAGGGCAGGTTGAGAGAAAGCAGATAGCCATTCGTTTGCCAGCTGGAAGAAATGAGAAGAGGAATTCGTAAGAGGTGTTGGGGAATTAGTAAGTTTTATTGAAATAATGGACCATAGACCCAAAGGTGGATAAGGAAGGATATGAGTGAAGCAAGGGCTGCTGGGCCAAAGATTTTAATAAAATTAAAGAAAGGTTGTTATTGCAATCAATTGAACAAACAAGATGGAAGGAGAGGAGATGGTGATCAGAGCACAGGGTTCTTGAGGAAATGATTTTGGAAGTGGAGCAGTTGGGATAATGACAATTTCTATTGGAGGACCAGGTGTGTGACAGAGAATTTACCATTAAAATGCCATGCTGTCTACATGATAAGATTAAGAAACCCCTACGTGTCATTGGAAAATAGAAAAAGAAGATATGAGTTATTGGCAGATTTTGATTTCTTCTAAAGTTAGAGAAAGCATGCAATTACTTCCACTGGGATAAAAACTTGGATTTTAGCCTAAATTGCTTTAGAGACTGTAGGGATTCAAATGATTTTAATGCACTACATTGTAAATAACACAAAGGAAATGGTAAATCACAACTCTTTGTTTTTCTTTACTGATATTTTCATTGACACTCTTAGGTGAAAGGAAATTGCTGTAGTTATTGGTCTCTGTGAAACATCTTTTTTGCTTGTCTCTTAGCCTGCGTGATAACAACAGCAACTGGAGTACTCATAATATGCCTGGTGAATAATAGAGGAAACAACAACTCTTCTCTTGTTATCACCCTGTCCACAGACATTGGGGACCCTATAGTTATTATTCATGGAAAAACCTCTGCTGCTTCTCAACCTGCAGTGACCTGTTGAACCTACAACTGAACCGTCAGCTGAACCTAAAACTACAGCCACTTCAACAGACTCTGCAACCATTTCAGCACCCACTGAACCCTCAGCCCAATAGCCACAACCATCACTTCAACTGAACCCACAACCTCCACACATTCAACTGAACTTACAACCACAACACCCATTGTTCCTACGTCAAGTAAAACCACAGATGGCCCCCACTTCAAAGGAGTCTACAACAGTTACAATTTCAATGACATCAAATGTTAATGAACCTTAATTTTAGCTGATGACCAAAACAATCACCACTGCCACCATCTCTTTTAATGTACAACTACATTCACTTCAACAGAATCTACAACCGCTACCACTCAACCTACAACCACTGTAATTTCCACTTAGCCTACAATAACAATGGTCATCAGTTTCCTTCAACAATCTAACACCTACTACTATTTGTCTGAAACTGCAACTAAAAATGCCATATCATCACTTTATCTAATAGACTATCAGCCATCCAAATGTTCTCTTTTATAGAAAGTTAACCTTTAGTTATCATTACAGACTAACCTACAACTATCCTCCCCCACTAGCTCTTCTCCAAAACTGTAACTAAGTCCTTTACAATAGCTGAGTCTGTATCTACTGCTATTGCAATATTATACCTACTACAGCTACCATGATGCCACTGGAAGAACAGTAATTTAGACAATGAGTAATGGAATAATTACTTAAATTTTCACTAAATCAACACTGAGGACTTCTAAATGTATAAAGCTGTTTTTAAAGAACTGAACATTTGAACTATAAAGAATCTGCTCTTGGTATTATCATCCAAAATAATATAATTTCATCTAAAAAAGTAACCCAACTTGTTCATTTAGGAAATCTTAAAGAAGTTTTATAAAAACATTATCATGAAATTAGCCATTTAACTGTTAATATGTATTGTTTTCAGTTCAAAACATTGCATACCTCTGTACAAAAATTTCATGCATAATAAACAGAAATTTTATAGGAGGGAGATTTAAACAAATTTATGTAGAGAATATTTTAGAATTTATAATAATTCTTTATGAAGTTGTTTCTTCAATTTCTCTTTAGATTGCAATTACCTTTTAAACAATCACTTTCTGTTTGCATTTTATTGAACATGCATTTGAATCTCTCTTTAAAAATTACATAATTAATATTTTGCAGTCTTGTAAGCCAATCAATTAAAGGACATGTCTTAATTCCCAACTATGTGCTTCAGACAGAAGTCATGGAAGAAAATAGCAATGCAAGCTGAGCAGTAAGTTAATTAATTTAAGACTCTTAATTTTTGAATTCTTAATAATTCTAGGAGATTTAAATTACAACTGATAATACCCCAGACTTACTAAACCAGGATCTTTAGATTGGAACTAAAAATCTATACTTTAAAAAACTTCACAAATGTTGGTAATGTCTGGGCAGACTTGAGACTCACTGGTTAAACGTCATACCCTGAGAATGACATTAGTTATAGTGATATAAGTTCTAATTAAACATATTAGAAATCAGAACCATGTTCTAGGTATGCAAGAAAAAGAATTATGGACTAGCTATGTACAAAATAAACCTACTTAACAGATTATATATATTATCAAGATGGGAATGTTTCACTTACCAAATAGCATAAAATATTTCAAGAAAAACATTAAGAAGAAGAAGGGGAAGGGTCAAATCAAGGAACATGTATAAATGACCCATGGACACAGCCAAAGCAGGGAAGGATTGAGGGTGGGAGGTGGGGGGTGGGTGGGGCAGGGGCAAGTGGTGGTGGGAAAATGGAGACAACTGCACTTAAACAACAATTAAAAAATAAGGGAAACAAGTGTATTTGAACAATTAGGAAAAAGAAAACCTACCTTGATATGAGCTTATGAGTAGGCTCTATCCTGCAAAAATAAAACAAAACTAATAAAATAAAATAAAAGCTTCAAAAGAAATTATAAATCATTTAAAATCTCTTAAAGTTGAACCTAAATGCTCTTTGTTAATTTTCACTAGCTGTGTTATTTTAATTATATTTAATGACATTTTAGTATGTACTTAGTAGTAACGACATTTTAGTAAATACATTAATTTACATTTCTAATAATGCACATTGGCCTTCACTTCCCTCCTTGATGTTTTTGTTAAGAATATTTTATGAGGTATTTAAAACATCACTGATTAGACCATTACATTTCTGCTTTAGAGTTATCATTTTCCAATTCTTTTACAGATCTGCTAATTGTCAGATAAATGGTCTGAAGTTTACCCATATTTGTAAATAAATACATGTACAGCTTATTTTGTAAGATTTCCTCAGCCTGTAGCAAAACTGGTCCTTAAAAAATACACATTGAGTAAATGAGTAAATGGTAGCTGACTTGTATATGTAAGATCCATGAGAATAGAACCTCTGTATTACCTATTATTATACCCCCTACATATAATAGACCCCAATAAATATTATTTCAAACTTTAAATATTTGTATTTGAAAGATAATTTTTAAGGCATTATGCTGTAAGAACATTTAGCTCTTGTGTCAGTATTAATAAAAACACTTCAGCTCATTTTTGCTTAAATTGAATGATTTTAATTCTTTTAATTTTTATAAGACCTATTTTCCACCTTTTAATAATGTACTTGATTATTTTCTGAATGCTCACCGTTTCTATAAATGTGGTGTTCCTAAGCTCTCATAGTACCAAGTGAAGGCTTCAGGTCATTGTCGATCGTTCAAACAGGAGGTTTAGTGGTGGCAGGTGGTGAAACTACCTACTACTTTTTAATCAGCTCTCATCAGTTCCTTAACTAAGCACACATCTGCAATGTTCTTCTTTCATTCTTTACATATACCTGCTAAAACTTTATACACCTTATTTGCTTCCTATATTTCCTGTTTCTTTGTCACTTATTTTCAGTTCTCAGCTTATGCTACTTTGAAACTTTATAGTATGTTTTTCCTTCCTAAGAATATTACCAGAAATGAAAACTTTTTTTGTGGGAGCATCACAGACAACACCTAGTTTCATTGTGGCTAGCTTTCAGGCATCTCTTCTGAATACAACTGCTTTAGGGAAGATAGAGCACTGCTGCCCAGGTGAATGGCACATAGATATCTAACATTAAAAAACCTGTGGCCAAACACCCTGTACTTAACTTTGTTTCAAGACCACACTTGGTAGACTTTGATCTTTTAGCTCCAGTTTCCCTGGCTGCTGCTCCTAACTCTTTTTCTTTGGCTGCCTTGGCATGGTTTTCTGTTTTTCTCATCTGGGTTAGTATTTTTGGCAACTGTCTTTGATATTCTTGGAGTATCCTTTTTTTTTGTTTTCCTTTTAGATTTGCAATGACTTCTACCGCTTAATCTTGGCCAACACAGTGCGTGCAAGTCCTTTCTATTTACTAATCTAAGATGACTTCTCAGCCATTTGACTGAGAAGGGGCAGAATAACATCAGAACTTGACAATCTAGGGTTCTGTTTTGATTAGCACTTGTGTTCCCTCCCTAGGGTAAAAGGTGAGGTGACTATTAAGCTAAAGATATAATACTGTTTATTTGGGATTGTCATTGCTTGAGTCATAGCAACTTCATCTACGTTGGGACAAAAGATTGCGCAACAGCTACTATGACTTTCTTAAAGCTAACATTAAAAGCCTATTTTCAGTAAATTGATGTTGCAAATAATTGCAAGTAAAGACACAGTCACTTCCTGGGTCATGGTCAAGGCTGGCTGATGTGTGGATGCTTTGAAACAGCTTGGTGCAGCCCAGGGGTTCTTTTCAAAAGGCTCCGGTTTCGCCCCAGTAAAAATATAACAGCTCTTATGGCTCTTTTGGGATATATTTTCATCAAGTCAACATTGTGTTTGGATTAAGTCACTTTAAGAGGACCACAAAAGGCTCTAGTAACTCTGACTTTCCTTTTGAGGAAACTAGATTTTTGAATAATTCACCTGTTTGTGCAATAAGTAGCAGCAGTGGGTCCAACTCTGAGCTTCAGTCACTGAAAGCTCTATGTCTTTTGGAGAACTCTTCTCCAAGGAACAGAGTTGTCCTACTATAGCTGTGATTCCTTGGAATTTGAGGGACAACCCATAATCTTCAGAGTAGGCTGAGATACACTCTCTTCCCTGAAGAGAAAATAATTATAAAAGCTTAAAGATAATTATACTATCAGAATATCACTGAGCTCTCTTCAATTACATGTATAAATGATAGTAGCAAAAAATATGAAGAAACAGAATAATAACTCAGGAACAGACAATCTTTGACATAAATAATTTAAAATAACAAATACCTTTGTTTTCCTTAGTTTGTACAGGGAATAAAATCCACTCAGTTGTGGTGAGCATGAAGTGAAATAAGCAATCTTGTATTTGGCTGATGATACTCTTATTGAATTATGGGATGTTTTTTATTGTATGTTTGAGAGATTGTATTGAGGGAAAAAAAACTTGGCAAGCTGTACTGATAGCTTTAAAATGCCATCCGCTTTGTCAGAGTAAGTCTGATTATTGGAACATGTGCTAAGGAAATACCTGATATATGGTACAAATAAGATCTTCGTAGTTTCAGAAGTGCAAAATATTGCAAAAACAATTGTTTGGAAAGCATAAGGGCTACATGATGAAATATAATGTAGTCATGATATTTTTAAATGTCTTGATAAAAAGGTTGTGAAAAAGCAGAATATAAAATAAACAATGCAATTTCAAGGTAAAAAGAAAGAAAAATATACTAAAAAGGCATTAAACAAAGTAAAAAATACTTCTAGAGCTGAGATTGTGATACTGGTTGTCATGGAATGGAAGGAAAATACAAGACAAGCCTGCAGATGTTGAACAACTTGATATCCAGTGAGGGCAGAAATATTTTTAACTCTTGCATTTAACTTACAATTTGAGCTCTCCACCTGCCATGAAATATCTAACTTTCTATTGGTAAATCCATGTGTTTTGCAACAGTGTTTGTTTCACCTATATTAAGATTAAAATAGGCACAA